ACTTTAAATTAAAAAGAAAAAGTAAATTTGGCGAAAAGTAATATTGATGGAGTTTATACGTTTATATTACAAATCAAAAGTTAGTGCCAATGTAATTTACATATTTTTACAGTAGAATTCACATATAAAAATATGTGATCGATAGAAATTAGGTACAACCATCCACTGAAAGACCGAGTTTAAACCTTTACGTTTTGCCCTCTCTTATACAAATGGGTTTAGGGATGACATATACTGCGTGCGTTTCATTGTATTATATTGACCTCATGTCTATATTTATTGTCCAGATAACTGCACAACAATTTTATCTAATGTATATAATGGACCTGACCGAGACTAACCTTATAATCGAATCGATGTCATGAATAATATGGCCAGTCGTCAATCAACGTTCCATTGCGCATTCGAGCAAATAATAATTATAATATCAAATCGGGGGGACGACCTCAACGACGACCACGGCGAGACGCTCGGTAGTCGGTATATAATATAGTATAATTACAGGAAATCGATGTGTGCTTGTATAATACGTATGAATCGTATTACTAGGGGTGGGTTTAATTCCATCCCCTGATCGATAACAATTATTATCGTTGACAATTTTGCACCCATCAGCCCACCGATTTTCATTACAGCAATAATAATGTTATGCTTAGGTACCTACCGTTTAATCGGTGTTTGTCGTTTCGCTATAATTTCCATCGTGCACCGGAGACGATCGAGATAACGTCAAAAATAATTAAATCCTCTTATCCCTATATATCTATAATAGAAACTATACTTCAGTAATGGTACAAATCAAACGGCCGTGCTTTTTTGACGGACGTACGTCGTATATCCACTCGCGTGGGTGCGTTCTTATATACTTTTAATACCTAGACAATAGTTTCGTTTTGTTCGAGACATAGTTGCCGGGGAAGGGAAATCGCTTGAAAAATCACTAGCCTGTAAGTTTTCATCGTGAAGGGTTTGTAAATCATGTACAATAATATACACCATGAACAATATTAGTGTAATATGGTACATGTCTCGCATACGACATTGTTTTTTTTATCGCGATGGACCTATACTACATAATTCGAGTAATCCTATGTTATTTTTATATTTTAATAAAAAAAAAATACATAGGGCCCTACTATGGTATATAGTTTATTATTGTGTGGTACTAAGTGAGCTATTTCTGCAGTCACAAGTATCTGACATTATCTTCCCACACGAGCCACTTAGTACCTAAGTAGCGGTAACCCATATTGGACAGTTCATTTTGTACCCATTCGGTATCTAAATTTGACAAATTGTTTCATAGCACAGTAGTATCCCACATACCTACTATAGTGACTATTATAGGCAATAGATAATACCTAGATTATGATATATTAGAGTAATTAGATAAATTGTACCGATACGCATGAAGTGTTTATATTGATCTCAAATCAGGTTAATAATAATGACTTTTTTAAGCATTAATTAAGTACTGTATGCTGTATGTAAAAGAGTCATTTTCGACCGACAATAAAAATTAAACTTCCTGTGCAGGTGTAACAAAAAATTATTACTTTATTATGCTCCTCTTCATTATTATATTTATCATTCCATTGACAAACGTTCTAACTAGTATTATGATTATTATCGTAATTTATAACATTTCATAACATATAGGTATCCAATATACTTTTACGTCAATTTAGTGGATGTTTCACAATACTCAAACTTTCTCCTAATGACACGGGAAGTTTCTTGAGTAAAAAAAGTAATAATAATGATTTTAGGGGCAACTTGAGTTATCCGGTACCTGTGAATTGCCTATAATATGTACCTATACCCATTCCTATAATACAAATATGACAATGTCTCCTGGTTGCAAGAGTTATCATTTTCCCACTAACGATTGTAACTGATCACACATTTTAATATTATGAAAGTCATTGAGAAAAATTAAAAACCAGATAAGTGCATAATATAATATATTTTTATGCGTGTGTGTAACGAAGAGTAATAAGTAATAACTATTATCTGTTCGCTTAGAGAATGTGGTTGCTTTGCGCATACGACCCAAAGCTTGGGGATCGTACAGATTAAACTTTTGTAGGGGTATTTTTTTTTTAAAAACTTTGTTATTATGTGGGCTACAGCCTGCAGTAGTGAGTATAGTGAGATAATGTATATTTCTTATATACATAATAGACATTATATTCTTCTTTCAACGGTCGGATGAATGCGAATGTGTCTTGGTCGATGGAATATTTCATTAGTATAACGAACTTTATATATTATATTATAATGATTGCTAAGGCATTTAAGAGACTCGTATTGAGACAAATATTGTTAACCCGGCGAGGGTCCCAATGGTTTTGGGGATATCGTCCTCTCTGCAGTGGTCGGATAATGCACATTCGGCTATAGGGAGCGAAATATTCGCATGGGTGTGGTAGAACACCATTCGGTTAAGTATCTGGTATATAATGTAAAAAAACAAAATAAAATTAATGCAGAATACATAAAGAATAGCACTTCCCTTTGAACATTTTTAAATTAAATTTTCATTCGAGAGTTATTTTTTATCTGATGGATATTGGTTCAACCGGTATTGCGGATGTAAATATACGTACCAGTTATGTTGTTTGTATATTAAAATTAAATTAATATTATTAATCTATAGGGTTCTAAAGTGATGAACGGCAGGCTTCTAAAGCATATACATTTTGTTAAATAAATTAAACATTTTAATAACATACACTTTTCGTTATTTATCGAGATACCCGAGTGGTTAAAAATTGTAAAATAATAACGAAAGATTTTTATTCCAATGTTATACACTTAGTATATGTAAACAAAAACTTTACTCTCTCTGAATATAATATGATGATCAGCGCAGGCTGATGTATTAATAAATATTTAGAACCGTAGTCGAAGTTACCTCGCCCAATCTCAAAATTAATATTATATTATAAACCTATATTATATTATATATACAATGTTATTATCCCAGAATTTTTTTTTTATCCGATATTATACGATTTTTTTTATATATTTTTACTTTGTAGGGGAAAAATATTTTAATAATGTAGAAATAAAGATCGGCATGTCCTTAAAAATGTATAGAATTTCAAATAAGGTTAAAAATTAAAATATAGCATAGTATGACTAAACGAGATAATTTTGAAAACTTCGATTAGGTAGATTAGGTTGGGTTAGGTTAATAAAAATATAAGAATTTTTGAATATGTAAAACATTGTTTGGTTGTGGAAAAAAAGGCATTTGAAAAAAAATCTATTCTTCACAATTATTAAGTCCACCATAGCACACTACATAATATAATACTATAATAATAATAAATAATAATCATAATAACATATTTAAATAATTTATATAGGACATAGGTAGTATATAGTTATATAATATATAGGTACCCATGATATAATATTTAATGATGTGGTGATATATAAAAGTTTAAAAAAGAGTTTATGTTTAAAGAGCATTCCGAAAATACTATAATATAGTTATAAAAATAATTATTGTATCAATAATCGATGTACCTACCTACCAGTAATTATGTTACTACTATATCTTTCAACTTCTAAGACAATAAATTATTGATATTAGGTATGTAGACACCGTTAAAATGAAATTATATACATATTATGAGTATTGAGTATTGACAATTGTCTATTGAGTGAATATATAATTACAGGTAGGTATATATTATTAATACGAGAAACTAAATAGGGTTGGTCACTATTATAGGTAAACAAATATGAAATTGTTCCCATGTTAGAATTTCGAGAAACGAAAAAGGATCCCTATATTAACATAAATATGTTTTTGGGAGGGATAGTATTTTTGTTTCTGACCAGTTTTCGTTATTATGGCTACTTATTAATAAAAATATATTTATGATTCATAGATTTTCCTTGTCGAGTAAAATTGTTGATTAGCGTGCTATGGTTTTATCTATTATATACCTATTCTTGTATATATAAATATATTATACCTATAGTTGTTAGGTTTATTATAAGGTATACTATTATACTAGGGGCTCTGTCCCTGACCCCTCACCTCATTGACTTCGAACATGAAAATATGAACCATCGCTTCGCTCAAGTGTCGATGATACGTTATTACGTTATAATCGCGTTACAGTAAGAAATTCAAATGTAATATAAAATAATATGTCGATTACGCAACTACCTATAATATCAAAAATAAATTAAATTAAATACACTCAATATAATATGTTTGATGTCATTATTTTTGGTTTGTATTTTAATTCCAGTTCTGGGTCTACAACTGGACAATATATCGGGTCATCGTACGTCTGTCCCCTCCAAATATAAAATATTTTGTGTAAGACTTGAATATGTCACCTAAGATCTTATCAATAATAATATCAAGCAAGGGGATCATTGATGCTTCATCCCATCAGAAAAATTATCTTGCCACTTGTAGTTGTTTATTCAGTTCTTCTATCCGGTTATAAGTTTATGTTCCAGTGTTGTGGCACCTACGTAATATATACATTATACATGAATGAGCATGACGCCACAAAATAAAGAAAGTGACAGAGAATTATTTTACTAAACCGAGATATGTTATTATTGCTATATTTATCGTAAAAAAATTAATAAAATTAAATAACCTATGTATTATTTTTATATTATTATTATTATTATCATGCTATATACTAGGGAGGCTTTTTCCATTTTCCATATCTTGCCGAGCCCCATTTATTGTAATCTTCGTCCCGGCTGTTCGAACCCTCCTTCACATTTTGAAATTTAATATATGTAATTTGAAATATTTAAAAATAAAATGCACAATACTTTTTATATAATTTCTAATAATATAATTATTATTTTATATTGGTATATTTAGTTCGTCGAACTCGCTGTAATTTGACATTACGCAGAGGCATGACATAATAATTATAACTTTTATCACTATGATAATTATAATATGACGTGCGTCAATAACGGATCGGTTTTTTTTTCTCCATTTACAGGAACGCAGAGGAGGTGAGGCGCGAGGACAACGAGCTGCAAGGCGTGTCACAGCACGTCATCACCGTTGACGGCGAAGCGGTGACGTCCGTCAACGGAAAACTGTTGGCCGGACACACGGTCGGCCGGGACGCGGGTGACGACGTCGACCAGGTGTCCGTTTGCTCGTGCACGTGCGTGGGACCGGTGCAGTACGACTACAACCGGGACATACGGCCGGCGGAGAGGGCGGCGGCAAACGCAGCGGCAGCGGCGGCCGTGGTCTACAACAGTCCGCCGACCGAACAGCCCCTGCTGTCCATGAAGCGGGTGTCCATATAAAGGACAGGGGCGGGGGCGGAGATTGAGGGTAGTTTTGGTGGAATCATATTATGTTATGTCGCACGTGCTGGGTAGGGGTGGCAGCGTGATATATGAGATTGTATAGGGACGTATTATTGTTATTCTTAATTTTTTTTTTTTTGATATTCACTCTCGCCCTCCCCCCACGAAATATAATATGGCCCCAAGTATCTATGCCGTTGCACGTTCCGTCCGAAATATTATATCCAGGCAGATTTAACAGCTGAAGCATACAGAAGTCTTCGTCCGATTTCAAAAATGAATATTTATTTTAATAATAATTATGCTAGGATGAATAATTGGTACTTATATAGTAAATAATCGAGTTTCAATAAAGTGTTTAGTATTCAATATTATGATCTCACTGGTTATAGATTAAGTACACATAATATATTATGATAAGGTGTTTTTCTCATACGCTTATCTCGGCACTAACCGACGACAGTTTACCAACATTACAAACGCTCATAAGATGCTGTTAATCGGCTACAAAAATAAAATAAAAAGTTAACGAAATAACCTCGACTGTCTAATCTTAACAATAATGGTATAAAGATGACGTCTACACAGGAATTGTATATGCTGAGCCGTAGTCGGACGAGGACTTTTGAATCACTCTGTACAATTATACTCGAATATACAGAACATATAGATATGTTATATGATATAATATAATATCATATTATAGGTATTATATATTATATTTGTTCTATGTATTAATAACCGTACGCATCTTACTATCCTATAGGTTAGGTTAGGATACGGTTTAAATCTTTACGATCTACGGAAAATTCGCATATTAAATAAATTATATTTTCCCAATTCCAAAGTTCGATGGGTAGCGTTCACATATTTTGAGGCTCAGTATCGTCTCCATTCTGCAAGTTAATTGGGATACACATAATAAGATACGACAGTTAACAAAATTATGATTCGAGTGTACGGAGTTGTTCGCCAACGCTTTCGACGGGTTTGGAAATAGAAAATTTCAACGAATTTTTTATAACTAATAAAAATCAAAAAATATTATGTAGGTAACAAAATTACACCTAAATTGACGATGACACAGACCGGTTCTATTATACTGCTTGATTCTTCTAACGTGATTTTGACACCGTTGCGATTTAATGACGCGAATGGATTAATTTAAATATTTGACCGGTTGTGCAACAGCGGCACTCTATACTTTTCACCAGCGTATTATACAACATTATTATTATTAAATATTGTAAAATACCAACAAATGTCTTTTTTTTTCAAATAACTCTTTTGTTTGTGCGCTATTTTGAAGTAGATATTTCAATATCTAAATAATACCTAAATTAATTGATTAATATTTGTGATTGTGTAACTTGTGTTTTACTTTTTTAAACCACTATCGAACGATATAATAGCCATTTTCCATAGGTACTAATGTATATTTACAGTACATATTCAGGAGTATCTATTATAAAAGTCCTCTTTGGAATAATTTATGTTAACTATTATTTGTCTACGGAGGCTATAATGTCATAATATGGTGATCGGGCTGTACACTGCTTAGAACTTAATATTATTTAAAAACGATTTTCGTCCATATGACGACGGTCCCCAAGTTAAGACATCTAAATATCGTATAAGTATTTTTAAAGATTTCTATATTTTAATCCCGTTTCCCGACTTTATTACAGCGTGTTATAGTATTATATTTTAGGTTACGACGGCGGTGATGATTTTACATGAGGGCAATTTCATTTAAATCAAATTTGATTCTATCCAATTACAATGCCTGTAGCAGTTTTAAATTCTCTGGCCTAAAATTAATCAATCTCGTATATTACCGACCTACTTACATTTTTATTTTATATTTTCACCGAACATAGTAATTTCATGATAATATTTTATTAAATAGCATAATATGAAAACGTAAAGATGTTAAAACGAAAACTCATTATTTATTGTTTATAAGTTGTAAATTGTAACAAACGACATAATATTAATATTATTATGTGTAGATTTTGTATTTTTTTTTTATGTTTTCGTGTTTTCGTTGTTAATATAACATGATTATTAATTATTATAACTGACTGTTTTGATTATATTATATTATGCAATCAATATTCTCGGATGTCGCGTTCCTCTTCTCCTCATTTTAACCGTTTCCTACCTCAGCATATATAAATATAAATATATTTTGAATCGTATTATATATATTTATACATACTTACAAGTTAATGTGATGAAGTCATGGTAAATTCATAAAACTTAATTTATCATCGGTATTCAACATTTATTGTTTGGCCTCATAGCTAGCACTGCACTCTGACCAAATCAACCGACACTCAATTTCGTACAACTATGCATATAGGTATCATACCTAATATATTATTACAATATAATTACTAGCGACGTGTTGTGTACTTGTGTGGCTAGCTTAGATCATATACCATGGATGGAGCCACAGAGTATTACATCAATACAAAAAAACGTTGCCGATATCAGTGACAAGTTGCCAATTAGGTATTCGATATGCGCATGCACAACGCGACTTCTCGCATATTTATTCCCAGATACCTATTGTTCCTATGGATAACTATGCGAGGAGTTGCATTGCTCTTGCGAACATCGATCACCTAATTTAGTGACTCGTCACTATATCGGCAACAAAATCATACGCTGTGGCTCCAACCAAAGTATATGATCTAAACCCTAATAGGTGGCTCGGTAACAATAACAGATAATACATGATAACCGGACCCGTGACCATTATAGTTAATGAACTAGCTCAACGAGTTATAGAAACGACTCGTGGCTTTGGTGACGTCATACGCCTATATAGGTGCTGATATAATACTTATATAGTTATATTGTTTTACTCGACCGGTTCACTATCTACATAATAATATTACTATATCCAACTTCCACTTGATTTTAAAATATTTAGACATAATTCTCAGAGGTATACATATATATAATATTATATGTGTGTGTGTAATAATATTGTTAGTTTAACTAATGTATTGTACACTTTGGACGTCTCATATTCCATCAAACATTAATTAGGTACACGAAATTATTTGAAATGGCACCTAAAAAATGAAACATTGGTAGATCAACCAAAGATATATGCACTGCAACTGTCTGAAGATCGAGACGCACGCCGGGAAACTAACCAGAGCTTGACCCACAGTATTTTTTGTTTATAAAAAGACAAATTTTGGGACTGGCAACATCAGGCAGGCAGCTAGTATACACACACACACACACACACACACACATACTCTACAAGAGCATTTAAAATGAGAGGAGGTGGAGGTCATAAGCTAGTGGTTATTTTTTTTCAACCGGTTTTATAAGTACTTATCGTTTGGTTTAGAACAACGAATTAATTGTATTGTACTACAATACAGCATAATATTATTATGATATATAATGCATACAAATGCCATAGGCACACAGTGATAAAATATGAATTTGTATATGTTATACTAGTAACACGTGTACAACTATAATAACTATACCCTATATTATAGTCTCTGTAGTGTATTATAGTATACAATATGTAGGTATATAATATTATAATAGATCGTTAATGACTGATCTTTGATCCCATCACCACTACTTACAAGATCGTTATATCGATCGTTTTCATTGCGATAACATGTTCACAAATAAACAACGAACATTATTAAAAAATTGAATCTCTGATTGTGAAATTTACATAAAACAATATATATGAAACAACCATATCAGTGTTTTTTTAAATACAAGTTACTAAAAAAAATAACGGTAATTGAGAATAAGTGTTAAAAAAAATGTAAGCCGAGTCAAAGTATATTGGAGTTCAAGAATAATCTGTTTTTACGAAATTTGAACCACGTTTATTTTATATTCCATAATCGAGATTTGAGATATCCGCTACACTGTTAAAATTTTATTTATACACAATACACATATTAGACGTAAATAATAACTAAACTATTATGGTCATTAACTAAAACAATGTATATAAATAGATTTTTAATTTGTAAATTTTTATAATTTTCATTACGTTTTATGATTTTTTTTATCCTATATCGCCAGTATCAATGAATAAGGTTAGAGTAAATTACACAACAAATAAGAGAACAATTAGATTATTAGATAATTTGTAAATTTAAACATATCTACGTCACTTTGACGATTTATTAATTCTAGAAACTTTTTGGTAGAATAATTGTTTATAAAAAAAATATTCTACTCAAATCTTTAGAAAAAATTAAGGGATTATAACCTAAAGTTTTTTCTTTGAAATTAATACTACACTTTGGTAACAAATTCGTTACCATTCACGTAACCACAAAATGTCACCACTTAAACCCCTTACCGCAAAAATCGTTTTCCCGAAACGGCCGTTGTTGGCGTAACGTTACACTAGAACCCGCATCAAAAAAGAGCAAGTAACATTGTACGTGTACGTACTGAAAGGATAAACTAGACATTTTAGAAATTTTCTAAAAATGTGTATAATCGGTAGGTGTACCTAATCTACATGTAATACCTAACGGCTATACTTACTTTCACCTCATAATGGTATAATTTCAACCTGAGAATATTGAACTGAAATATTCAGTTGTAAACCGCATAAAGAAGTGGTCTAAGAACTCATTACCAACGGGCCATATATTTGCATCAAAGGTTCACGGGCAGAACACCTTTTTTTTACTCAACTTAATACTAAATCTAAAATGAAGAAATTAAATGAAGACAACATTTATTATTTCTTCTATTTATTATAATTATTATTATAATTTATCTGTGTTTAATACTAGATACCTATATTACAAGGATGCACTTATTTATTTTTCGTTTAATAATTATTTATTTGTATTTTTAAAATGTTTGAAGGAATAAATGTTTCTTGAGGGCTACACTGATGTGGTTCGAGGGCCAAATGTTTGAGCCGACCACTGAGCATACTGTATAGTCATAGCTAAACTGTTCTGAACGTTTTTGAAAGT